CTTTCGAAGAGATGACAGGAGTAAGACAAGGTTGTCTACTATCTCCGATGATCTTCCTGATTGTGGGTCAACTCAACTAAACTGGATCATGCAACAAACTGTGAGGAGCGAGAAGATGGGCATACGCTGACTGGACCGATGAAAAGACACTAGAAGGAGATTTGGATTTCGCCGATGATGATTTGCGTCTAATGTCTTATGTCGCACAAACTCGAAGATGTACAGGGGAAAACTAACAAGTTGGCAGAAGAGGCAGGGGAGAGAAGGAAAGTGGGACTTCCTTCACGTGAACGTAGAGAAGACAGAGGTGATGACGATACCCAACCAGCAACAACAACAACAAGCACCAACCACCGTGGATGGAAGAAATGTGAAGAAAGTTGTCTGTTTCACCCACCCACCTACCTAGCCAGCATCGTTTCAACTACAGGTAGCGGTGGCGGCACAGATGGGGATATAGAAGCCAGGATTGGAAAGACACCAAGATAGGCCTTCCTTCATTAACCTGAAATCAGTGTGGGGATCTACCACACTGCACTCCACTGCACTCCACTCCACTCCACTCAGCATTAAGCGTGAACAAGATCCGGATTTTCAACACTAATGTCAGTCAAGTAAGTTAGTGCTTCTATTTGATGGTTGACAGACTTGGCGCGTCACGGAAAGCATTTCCAACAAACTGTACATATACAGCATCAACAGCTATCACCTACTCTCGCTCGATACTGAAGATCAGATGAGAAGGCCAGAACGAATAAGCAACAGGAAACTCTGACCGGCCTGACAACAAACCAACCAAAAACCCATCGCCCAACAAATATGCAACAGAAAGTGGAGATGGATTGGATTGGACATACGCTAAGAAGACCATTTGAGGACATCACGCGCCAGGCCCTCGAGTGGAACCCACATGGGAAACGACGAGTTGGGCGTGCGAGGGTGACATGGAGGAGATGGTGTGAAGAAGAAATGAAAGCTTGTGGGCAGTGGTGGAGTCAGGTTGAAAAGACTACAGAGAACGGAGTGCAGTGGAGACGTGTTAGTGAAGCGGTATGTTCCACTAGGAACCCAAAGGAAAAATAATGAAAATAATAAACAGTATATACATGGATCACTTCCAGGGAAACCTGAATTTAGTCAGTTTGAGGTCAAGGTCTCAGCACTTCTTGGTCATCTTATTCCACAAAAGAAGTCTTGCGAAAGAATCATATTCCAAGGTGAAGTCTTAAGATGCTATATGCTGATATATTTGTTACCTCTGTCGAGATTATGAACAATAGTGGTACCATTCAAGGTGCTTCTTTCATATCTGTTTAGGAAGTAATTGCGACCATTAAAATCCCTCAGTGATGGTCTAAGCCCGGGTTATGCCAGCTTCGTTGTTGTTTTCAAGAATAGAGAAGCAACTGCAATCGGTCAGAATTTTAAACACACTACAAAAGACACGGGATTAGAAAATCAGATTATTTTATTATTTTTTTGGGCAGTTGGTATAACAGGTGGTAACTGAAAACAATTCATTAGCAGTGTTAATTAGTAGATGGGATAAGATGTCATCAGATTTCATGAATAGGAGACTTGAAATGTCATCTGGTCACAGTTATGAGAGGAATTCGGTGATTTGTGACTCTTGACAACACGCTGCTCGCCAAACGATGGAAATCAATCTCTACAAGAACCGGAGAGACAGGTTAGAGTAAAATTATGGGGTTGTTCAAGTAAACGAGGTCATCGATACTTCTCCGGTAAGCCTTTGACTATGAGTAAGATCTTTAAAAGTTTCTATATGCTGAAAGAGTTGTTGCACGACAATAGCTTTTGGTGATATGATAAGCTCAAATGTCTAATTCCTGATTTTATTAGTTATTTCACCTAATATTATCGCCTACTTCATATAACCTTTCTTTTTCTCGACTTATTCTCTTGATGTGAGGTGAATAAAGACGACCAAGATGTAAAAAATATACTCCAGTTTGTGTCTCGTAGCACTCCTCTTAGTCAAAATATATTGTTATGCAGACAGTTTCTATACAACGCTTTTTATGCCACATACTTTAGGCAAAATATGTATAATGCAGTGATCTGAATTGAGTAGTAGGACTCTTTCACAAGTTCCTTATACATTGATATTATTGACGGATTTCAACTTAAATGTATCCTTCAGTTGTTTTTTGATGCCAAAAGGTCCTGACGAACGATAATTCTAAGAAAGCCGGAGTCACAAGAACCTAAATCACCATATACTATCGACAGACAACCACTGCAAATTTTACGGACGATTCAGGGGAATTTAGAGTTAAATTAACCAATCGTTAGTAAGGTGGTATTTGTCAAAGTGCTCAGGATGGCATTTCTTCAGTGGTGCAGTCAGTGTAATCATCTGAAAATTTGAAGCATATTTAACTTGAAATGCACCAAGGAGTATTCTTGATGGTAGCTACACCTCCTTAACACTTCTCTGAGCACTTACATCAAACCCGACTGAATACCTTGGAAGGACTTAAGCAAACTGAATTACCATTGTATAGAGCATGCAATACGGTTCCCTGTAATGCAATGTCTTCAGTAAAGTGATAAATCTTCGAGGATAAAAGGACTGTAAGTTACGCAGGTTGAACTAAGCTTTAGCGTCTACCGTCGACGTTTAAATGTGTATCGACCAACCATATGCTGGAACAGGTAATTATGGGGAAAAAGGTACTTTATAGGAATGATGGATAGTGTCTAAAAGTGGGATCCAGGATGCGCACTTCGTCCTATTTAGGACGCGTCGGCTGCATACAGCTGCCTCCTGGTGACTGATAATGTTCCCGCCGGGGTTCGAACTCAGGGTCGGTTGCATCAAAATCCAGAGCCATATTCAGTAGACAACTAAGCCACGATATCCACTTCATGTGCGATGGGTATAGCTTTAATATATTGCTTGTATTATACTTCCGTTGACTGGACCGAACTGATCAGTCTCAGTTGGCATATGGTTCAGAAAGACTATGAAAGATCCACGATGAAATAACCCAGCTCAGAGAACTTAATACAACCAAGCCCTCCTGTTCATATGTGCACACATCACATGTTTCCCTCGAAATCATGGACTAATGGTTAATAACGATAACATTTATTGCCGTATTATTATCATGTATGAACAACGTGGTCTGATCGGTCTCGATTTCCTACTGAAACATGCACTAACTTGTACAGGTTTTATTCTCTGAAGAAGCGGCTTTCTCGAGAAAGCGAAACGTTCAGGATTTTCTTATCACATTTGGATTTTTAAAATGTATTCTCTTTATAGTAATGACGGATAGTGGCTAGCAGTAGAATGCAGGATGGTTCGGTGGTCTAGTGAATAACGCGCTGACGTTTGAAGCTATCTGCCCCGAGTTCGAATCCCAGTGGGAAGGAAATCACTCACTGAGAGGCAGATACATCGAGCTAACGAGTCCCAAATAGGACGAAATGTGCACCCTGGATTCCACTGCTAGACACTATCCACCATTATTACTATGTAATTAAGGACACAGGCAATATCGAGGCTGCCGAACAGAAGCCTATATGCCAATCAAGACCGATCAATCCGGTCTAATCATCGACGGTATATTACAAGCAACAATACTGAAATGGTACTTTATTTTACATTTAGTAATCTATTTTACGTGGGAAATGAAATGAAGTGCGTTGACACTCATCCTTTACAGAGGGTATCATATCCCCTCCATGATCTTTTTAAGTACCTTAAAAACTTTACAGGACTAACCCACATATTTTCATCACTTTTTGTGTGCACTGTAATTTTCTGGCCGATAGAGTGCTTATCGTGAAGAGTAGCTTGGTGGGGGTATCCCATTTCATGTGACGGCATGTAAAACTTTAGGTGATTTGTATATATTGTGGTACCCAATGAAAACGATTCGTCTATGACCGGAAGGATAGATCAGAAGAATCTTTCCTATTTCCACTAAAAGCGTCTTTTCTCCATATTTCGGTCGTATATACCAAGAATCTGTGATTTGGCAGGACATATATATGCAACCTGTTCAGTTTTGTTTAAGTCGTTTTCTTCAGTTATATTTTATGCTTCCTAATGGGACATACATCCATTTATACCACATTACCTACTCCACCAAACTTCAAATTCAACCTGCATATTATTTCGGGACAAATATCCCTTCAGTTTTGATACCAGTGGACTGAAGGAACTCCACTAGGATCTGTCACAGCTCTTACTGTTATCACATGTGTTCCAAAAACCTAATGTAGTAATAACATCAATACTTGTTGGAGAGTTAGATGACAGCCTTTGAAAGACTGGACTGTTTGCAAAGGTTTCTTCTAGTATAACAGGTTGAATAGCAAAAGATGAAATTATCTACCTTCTCATTGTTTGGAACACAACCCAAATTTATGATTTAAACATCTCACAAGTATCCAGTTCTCTGTAAATACGTAGTTTTTGTCATAATTCATCAAACTTTTATATAATTTCAGCACCATGGTAAACAGAAGTAGCAAATGATTTTGTATACAGCATCTGCAACCTGATTGGTCATCCACAAGGTTTCGCGTTACTTAAGTGCAATTCTACCCTAACCCACTTTTCCCTTCAAAGTTCTACAGTTCGGGCTTAGAATTTCGGGTAAAGCCTTCTGATATAACCTTATTCCCTCCATGTACGTCTTTCACTTAGACTTCAGAGAAAGTTATCTATATACAGTGGTTTAGTTGAACTGAAAATTTTTAGTCATTGTTACTGTTAGCAAAATAAGTATTTAATTTATGACCATGTCTGTATTCTGCTATCTTAAGCAAGAGTTTATTCACTATTATATTCAAGCGTAATTCATTAAAATTTAATGATTTGGTCATTCGAATAACCTATCACATTTTTGTTGTCCCATTCATTCGGATTTGTGGATTCCATTATGCCTCAAATGACCTTGACGAATCGTAAAGGTTAGTAAAATGGTGCGTGGGTGTAGTAAGCCACAATTATGAATGCAGTGAACAAATTATGTTAGGACTAATTACCTCAAGAAAATGATTTTGTAAATATTCAAATGATCAATTAAAACTGATTCAAACTGCATTGGATCTTTATTATTATTATTATTATTATGCGGAGATTATATTGTTTTATTTTAGTAATAATACTACTCAAGGATGTATTCATACAAATGTCAAAAATATCCGATTTTATAAAAACTTGTCGACCACATACCTCACGTAAATTAAGACACCTTGATGAGCAGACAGTAACAATAATGAATCAAAATTCTAAGCCATGTTGTCTACCAGAGACTTGGAGAGCACGTTTCCATGTACAGACCGTGAAAGGCGGTCGTTATTTAAGCCGCCTAGATCATGGTGCATTTCATATCACTCACAGATTAGATGGTTCTTTAGATAATGCTCTGTTAGTCGTTGGCAGAAATGTTCATTCTACAGAATTTTGTAGTATTAATCATACAGATAATTCAGTCATTCTGAAACATCTCTGTCCAAATGATAGTATACGATGTTTAAATACACCATTTCTTGGTGAACCAAGATGTATAAATGAAAAAGATGGTTATATGCTGAAAAAATCTCGGCTGTTGAATGAACGTGGACAAATTAAACAAATATGGTATATTGATAAATATGATAAAGTATTTGGTAGTGTTGAACGACATTTATATTATGTACTTCGACAATATGGATTATGTCAATTACTACGTTATCAAATACAATGGGGTAAGTATACTATGCCATGGAAAAGTTGTCGATTATTTATAAGACGTGAGCAAACTTATATTCCAATATCAGGTACATTTCAACATCATTTCAATCATTCATTAGTCAATGATTTATTATTCTGTTAGTCTTGTATGCTGTATAAACACCTTCTATGTATATGTTTGTTTATATAACTAAGAAGATGCCGTAATCGCTTACTTTGTCTTTATTATTATCCACCATTGTAGATTTTATGATGGAGATTCTATTTTTACGCAAACATTTGTTTAAAAAACACTTTCTTCTCTTTTTAAAACTATGTAAAATATATATTTATATTATCAAAAATTGGATTTATGGTATAAGAATTGGTTGTACTGGAAAGATATTATAAAATTTCTACTCATCATGAGATTCTGTGTAGGAAAATCAATACAGGTATAAGTCATCCTGGCCAATGATATTTGTCCAGCGAATGACCTCGAAATTTTACTAGCCAGTAGGCTGAAAGACGATTATTCTATTTAGTATTAGGCGTGATGAGTTTATTTCTTCACGAAATAAACAGTGGCTTATTGAACGAATATTCCTGAAATCCTATGACAGCAAACAGTCAGTTTCTTATGATAATTAATTATTTTTAAAAATGAATAGAAGAAAGTCTTTCATACACAAGTAGGAGTAACAGAGAGAACCGCCGTTCCAGCACAAAACATATTTCATCTTTAAAAATGTACTTTAGTAGTTTTTATTGTTTATTATTATTTTTCCTAGTGGAACATACCGCTTCACTAACACGTCTCCACTGCACTCCGTTCTCTGTAGTCTTTTCAACCTGACTCCACCACTGCCCACAAGCTTTCATTTCTTCTTCACACCATCTCCTCCATGTCACCCTCGCACGCCCAACTCGTCGTTTCCCATGTGGGTTCCACTCGAGGGCCTGGCGCGTGATGTCCTCAAATGGTCTTCTTAGCGTATGTCCAATCCAATCCATCTCCACTTTCTGTTGCATATTTGTTGGGCGATGGGTTTTTGGTTGGTTTGTTGTCAGGCCGGTCAGAGTTTCCTGTTGCTTATTCGTTCTGGCCTTCTCATCTGATCTTCAGTATCGAGCGAGAGTAGGTGATAGCTGTTGATGCTGTATATGTACAGTTTGTTGGAAATGCTTTCCGTGACGCGCCAAGTCTGTCAACCATCAAATAGAAGCACTAACTTACTTGACTGACATTAGTGTTGAAAATCCGGATCTTGTTCACGCTTAATGCTGAGTGGAGTGGAGTGGAGTGCAGTGGAGTGCAGTGTGGTAGATCCCCACACTGATTTCAGGTTAATGAAGGAAGGCCTATCTTGGTGTCTTTCCAATCCTGGCTTCTATATCCCCATCTGTGCCGCCACCGCTACCTGTAGTTGAAACGATGCTGGCTAGGTAGGTGGGTGGGTGAAACAGACAACTTTCTTCACATTTCTTCCGTCCACGGTGGTTGGTGCTTGTTGTTGTTGTTGCTGGTTGGGTATCGTCATCACCTCTGTCTTCTCTACGTTCACGTGAAGGAAGTCCCACTTTCCTTCTCTCCCCTGCCTCTTCTGCCAACTTGTTAGTTTTCCCCTGTACATCTTCGAGTTTGTGCGACATAAGACATTAGACGCAAATCATCATCGGCGAAATCCAAATCTCCTTCTAGTGTCTTTTCATCGGTCCAGTCAGCGTATGCCCATCTTCTCGCTCCTCACAGTTTGTTGCATGATCCAGTTTAGTTGAGTTGACCCACAATCAGGAAGATCATCGGAGATAGTAGACAACCTTGTCTTACTCCTGTCATCTCTTCGAAAGCGTCACAGAGCTTTTCATTGTGAATCGCTTGGTATGTAGTGTCATGATTTAAGTAGTTCTAATATAATGTTGTCACATATCAGGCATCTCTTGTTGGCATTGAAGGCATTTGCACTTCAAAAATGTTAGTTTGTGATTACACTTTTCGAATAAAACCAGTAGTCACGCACTGACTCCTCGCGCTTGAGACTTGAATTTGTCTCTAAACTAATCTCACTGAACAATTATAAATGCTCACTGGTTAGAAGTGTGAAAATTGAGCAAAATTATTATCTGCTACTTTTTTTGTTTTCCATGATTTCGGGATAGGAATTTTTGAAGGTTAAGAAACAAGATATATCTGTTTTAGAGATTTATTGGGATTCATTCTCTTAAAGGTAATATTCTTCACGGACTGATGGAGAGTATTTGTAGCTCAGGAGGATAATTTTGGTGATATTGTGTCCTTTGAGTCAGATGATTGTACAGCTTTCGTTGTATTTCTGGACACAGTAAAATTAACTTCAGAAAATATTTGAAATGAATTTCACTCTTATAAGAAGTATTAAGCACGATAACGAGAAATGCTGTCATCCAGGTTCTATGTATGGTTATAAAGACCACTGCATAAAAGTACTTTTTGAAGTTAGCAGGCATGAATAGTAACGATGAAAAAGTTGGAACATGAGTAAGGGGAATAGGCAATGTAGCGACATTAATCACTGGTCCGTTAGCATATTCAAAACATACGGAATAAACTCTAGGCAGAAATAAGACACAACCTCATTATCAGGGTTAAATGATGACTGATGTTCATAATATCTTTAAAGATGGCTGATAGATCTCCACATTGAAGTACTAGAGAAAAGATTATTGGGTAAAGTTCGTCAAAGTTTCTATAATCTGAAGTAAATGATGACTTACAGAAGAAATTTCGGTATTCACTTCCTCAGAAATCTGATGTCAGCTTGTGATTCCCTGTTGTTCATCGATTCAGTAATGTTTGTTGCAAGATATTCTTCCGCAGATAGTATAGGAAATTCACAGGCAAGTTGAAGCTTTAACACTAGAAGACATTTGTTAAGCAAAAAATAACCTGGCCAATAGCACTATAGCACTTAAAGCCTTACAAATGAAGTTAACTTTTCAACTGTATTGCCAGATAATTGAAAAAAAGAATACTTCCCATCTAAATTGAAACAAAGTATGCATCATTTATCAAGGAAGTCTAGCTATCAGATGCCAGAAATGGATAAGAACATAACTGTGTGAATGCCATCGCTAATGCGAAACAAAAATTAATGTAGGTGTGTAGAATTGACACTGAGCATAACTGTGTTAGAACTTAGGTTGTGAGAGTTATATCATTAAAGTAGAGGTCTACCAGCGAATATGTTGTTCATTACCGATTAATAACGATTCAGACATTCTTGGATTGCTTGAATGCCTGGAACCAAGGTGTTAAAACGTTCACGATGAAACTGTTGTGCGAAATCATAAATGTTCAGTTTTACATTTTTGTTATATAAAGCAAACATTTTAATTGAAATACACTGATAAAACAGCAACCAATTTTATGCTGTCTAGTCCTGAGTTCTGACTGAATTCCATGGATTAATTCGTAATTTAGCAATGAAGTTAGGAGGGTGACCACCGTGGTGTACTTTGGTTGGAGGCAGCTCTTAGCTTCCAGATTTCATTTGGCATCACACATTAACAGCTTTACTCTAGCTTATCTCTCCACTTGTATTTTTAAGTTACTCTTTACTAATTTTATTATTTATTTCACGGGGAAATGACTAATGATTGCCTATAACATGAACACCCAAAAACAGTAAAATAAACGGAGTTAACAAAAACTTAAAAAGTAGGGTGGTAAATGCTGTGACAGTAGGCTAGTGAGAGAAGTGGAATTTACTTCTCTGACAGACAAGTAGAAATGACTAAAGAATCACACTGTTGACCAAAGTATCAGTGGGTTCAAAATGATATGAATATAGATATATGCAACAGAATAAAATAACGTAGACAGTATATATCTGACTATTTGACTTCAATAGACTGGTAACTGTTGAAAACAAGGTAAAAATGTCTGCAATTACAAAGTTTGCTCTGGAAACGAGATGTTGTCGAAAAGACTTTATGGTCATCAGAACACTAGATAAATATCAGTTTGCAACTTCATGTTTCTGGGAGTATTCAAGATGAACAGTAATACACCGTACTCGAATATGCCACTTAGATTGTGCACACTTAATATTCCCACTTAAACATTTCGAAAAAAGACTGACTGGAGGAGGAAATATATTCCTTTTCAATTAGGTCTTCGTCTGAGGCTTTACACCACATGTTATTATAGAGCCCAAGACGGAGACCTAATTGAAAAGGAATATATTTCCTCATTCAGTCAGTCTTTATTCGTGAAAGAACCTTTTTCATGTATCATATGGAATCGAATTTAAGAAAGGTTTGAAGGTACACTAGCTGTACAAAAATATTGGTTAACAGTGGTAATGTTGTTGTTTGATGCTTGTACCTAGGACGTATCAGGCAATAGCTGATGCTGGCTGAACGCATGGTGGTTATCGTATCTCAGTGGCCCAGTGGAAACGCTTCGGCGTTTGCAGAGATGGGTACTGGATTTGAGTCTCAGTGGGAATAAGATAACTTACTGAGGAACACGTGCATCCAGCTGACGAGTCCCAAATAGGACGAAACACGCGCCCCGGAATCCTCTGCTAGCCAAGACCAAGTAAATTCCCATAAACAATTTTTGTAGCAAAACTTACCTACGACTGGTTCACCGTCAAACAAGCTCAACAACCACTTCGAAGTTTTTACAGACATATTGTTGATTTCATGTTAGTATTCATCATGAAGCGGCATCTATTGAAGAACCACCGGATTTTCGCTCAGTACCTGAACGGTAAAGAACTTGTTATGAAACTTCATGGTGTCGGCTTCTATCGTTGGCGGGGTTGTTAGGATAGACTACTGAAGAGTCCAGTTCTCCAACGAAACAGCTGTCAGTCTATGATAAATACTACCCTGAAACTAATCAGTCCCCACAAACCTGCTAACTGGGATAGTCTTGGCATTGAACATTTTATGTGCTACTTAGAAGATTGTGATCTAGTTCATTCTTAATACCTGTAACGACAAGCAATTATTTACTTTTAAAGAAGTTATCCTTTCGATGAGTCTCAGAATAACAAAGCATTAGTGAAAGCCACTATAGAGTGCGCCTTCATTTATTTTACTTCTTGCACTGTAGTACGTGGCTCTTCAGCAGTGAGCACCCATGACTCCATACCTCAGGGATCGAACCCAGGACCTTCAGTTACCGTAGCCTGCACGCCACCATTAAACCACTGGGTCGAAATCCAGTGGTCCATATTTCTTACTTCTGTCAGTCGACGACATAGCGCAATCATCACCTAATTTTGCCGCTGAGTATTTATTTGAACCGGTA